CCACGTTATTAAATTGTCTTTGCTGTTTATACTTATATATCATGAAGTTTTGCAACCAATGATACAAAATACTGACCGACTAATACATCAAGAATGAAGTTTATAAAGACTACATACAGTATGTCTAATCATCAGTCAAAGTATACTATAATATAAAAGGTACAGTAAGGTTATCAACAAGTCTTCCCATATAATAGTTGAATTGTTTCTACTCATCCATCTCTACTCGAGTATAGCTACTAGGTATCCACACTTCTCTAAGCCATCTATTGCTTATGGGGTGGAAGAGATTTAGATGGTTGAAAATGATCTGTTATACCAGCAAATTTAGACAACCATACATCAGATGGAGTCTTCACTCCATTTGGGCCGCCTCCTAGGAAGCTCAAAGGAAATCCGATATCAAATCCATTTGATCCCTCAATCTCCTTGACGTCGTCATCGCTCAACTCCAATGATAGAGCTTCGATATTTCCCTTCAAATGCTCAATCTTTCTCCCTCCAACAATCGGGAATACATATTTCGCCTTTCTCATCACATATGCCATTGCTACACTTGTAATTATCGTATTCTTCTCAATTGCAATCTTCTCAAGGACTTTGGATATCTTGATGGCAGCTTCTGTTGGTGGTGTCATCTTTCGACCTTCGTCGGACTTGCGTTGCTCGTCGCTTTTGAAATGTCCACCTCCCAATGCACCCCAGGGTGCTAGTCCCATTCCCTCATCAGCAGCCATACCAATAATATCACGTTCGAAATCGCGATTCTCGGCCGACCAGCGTCCTTGATATACGGAAAATTGACGGAATCCATGATCACGGGCATATTGATTGCATTTCGATACAACCCATGCCGGTGTGTCCGAAATTCCGAGATAGAGAACCTTTCCAGACAAGACCAATGCGTTCAAGGATTGCATGAGCTCCGGAATCGAGCAAGTAAAATCCCACCAATGAACATAAAGAAGATCAATATATGATGTTCTCAACTTCTTCAAACTTGCTTGGAGAGAAAGATGAAGAGATTTGGTTCCATTTCCGGTGGTATTGATCATGATCTCCTTATCGCCATGTCCAGCTCGGAAACAAGTGGTGAACTTTGTGGCGATGACGAGTTGATCTCGAATTCCACGCTTTTCGGCCCATTCACCGATCCATTTCTCGGATTCTTCGGACTGGTAATTGTTGGCTGTATCGATAAAGTTTCCTCCGGACTCATAGAAAAGATCCAATATCTCCTCGGTTTGCTTTTGATCACAAGCTCCCATAAAGCTCTCCCCTGGAAAGTGTTAGTGACTATCGGACCAAAAAGATTGCATAGTCTACTTACAAGCATTTCCAAAATTCATTGCTCCCAAGCATAAAGGGCTTACTCTCACGGCTGCTGTGGGCGAAAGCATTCTATAGTGACCAAGAGCGGTCTTCGGAGCGGGGGCTGGAGGGAATGCCATTGTATAGTTTGGTAAAGATATATGAGAAGGTAAATAAAGTCAATGGTAATATGAGAAGTGAGTGTTGGATGATGTTGATTATTTGAACTTCAATTGGGGAATGGAAGGAGTTCTTATAGTTGAGAGTTTCATGGTATGATATCATTCATGAAAGAACTATTTCTAAGCATTCCCCGCATTCACACCTCACCAAACCCTTATAGATCCTTAACACCCGGCCTTTGCATACATATGAAAACCATTACCTTACCAGGAGTTAAGTTATCTGCGTGAATCCACCACGCCAGCTATCATGGTACGTACACTGGCAGTGTTCATTGACGAAAGGGTAGATGTTAGTAAGCATCATTGTCTTGATAGTTCGGCCGAAAATGCGAACCATGCATTGCTTTGCCCTAACTTCCGTTTCTCCCGCTGCTAATATCAAGATATCGAGGTTGAACATCGATCTGATAGGTTCATTTGAATTCGCTATTTTCGGTATCTATTTGACCCTGTCATCCGGTCAGCACCTTACATCTCACAATGAGAACCTTGTATGTTAACCATGCAAATGCATCTTGCACCACAAAAAGCTGATGAAGATATGTAACTCCGTACAAATAGGCTTTTGCTTGATAAATATAAATCCATGGATACATATTGTGATCATCATCATGCCACGTCTGACACCCAGATCATACAGTAGCACTGCAGTCTGCAAGATGCAAATTTGCCGTATGCTAGTCATGAACTTATGACTTCGACCATCATTTCTATATTGCATGCGCAACATTGGTGCAAGATTCATCATATCACAATTCTCCAACAAAATTTTAGCCAACTTTCACTTGGGCAATCCTCGCGTACATCACGTGAATCGTCTGCGAGCTGATCGAACCTGGAGTCATCTTGATTCTCCTCATCTCGATTCATTCCCAATTCTCATAATTCTCGAAATTTAATCATGCAGTCTCAATTTTAAGTTAATGGGCTAACTTTGATGTGATTTTAGGAAGTACAGTATGATGATGGCTGGAAGATTCGAGCAATATTTGGGCCACCTGAAATTCCCCATTTGCTTCCAACACAACTGATATACAGTACTACCATTGTTTACCCGAGAAACCTCATTTAGATATCTTCTAATATCTCCTGTTCACCCAAAGTTTGATATCTCCCGTGTCTTGTTACAGCGTGGCCATCTTTCTCTCGACATTTACGCCATATCACGTGGATACGTGGATACGTGGTTATTGTTATGGATAACATGGATATCCCACAGGCTAAACTACCCCCCGGCTTCGGAAATGGCCGATTCTAGAAGTAGGAAAGCTTGCAAAGTCTTAGTCTTTCTCCACTCCTTGAACTTTTCCATTGCTCTTCTGTCCTTTACTCTCTCTCACATATTCTTTTTCAAGTCAATCGCGCTCCTTATTATATCCTTATTATTACCCCAGACTTCACCAAAGGGTGTGGCGAATGCAAGCGGTTGGAAACAACTATGCAGAGGAAACCTGCCTAAAAAACCGCAACGTCACTGCACCTGGTGCAAACGATTGTATTGAAGATGAAAATTTCGAAAAATCCGGGGTAAACTCGAATTTACCCAACCCGCAGAATTTGGACAACGACATCCGAAGTCCAACTACTTCCAACCAAAACCTTGAGAAAGGAATTGATCAGAACACTTCCGATCCACCATCTGACGAAAGCTCACTCATGGGGGATGAGAAGGATGACTTCCCTGAAGGGGGTTTGAAGGCTTGGTCGGTTATTGTGGGATCATTCTGTGGCTCGTTTTCAGTCTTCGGAATTCTCAATAGCAGTGGTATTTTACTCGAGTACTTCAGCACTCACCAATTGAAGGATTACGATTCCAGTCAAATAGGATGGATCTTCGGATTGTCCCTCTTTTTGACATTCTTTTGTGGTGCACCAATTGGTCCTATCTTTGATGCATATGGTCCAAGAGTTCTGATCTTCAGTGGAAGCATTTTGTTGGTTTTATCCATGATGTTGCTTGGGTTATGTACTCGTACGTTCGCTAATCAATATCCACTTACTCTCTCATTTACTAATTCATTTAGAATATTGGCACTTCTTTGTGGTGTATAGTGTACTCAATGGTATTGGTGGATGCTTGGTCAATACTCCATGTATTGCTGCAATCGGTCATTACTTCCTCGTCAAAAGAGGCAACGCCACCGGTATCGCAATGACTGCTGGAAGTATTGGTGGGATCATCTTCCCCCTTATGCTACAGCGTCTCTTCCCTACAATAGGTTTTGCATGGGCGACTCGAATCCTAGGCTTTATGCTCCTCTTCCTTCTCATACTCGCAAACCTCCTTGTGGAAAGTCGTCTCCCTAGAAAGAAACTTCCTAGCATTGGTAGTATTCTTCCAGACCTGAATGCCTTCAAGGATCCACCTTTTTTCTTCATCACCATCGCGATTTTCCTGCTCGAATGGGGTATCTTTGTCCCTCTGACATACATCACACCTTACGTCGTATCTCATGGTCAATCTTCATCCTTCGGCTTTTACATCGTTGCCATTCTTAACGCCGGCTCATTCTTTGGTCGATTCGGAGCAGGTTGGGCAGCCGATCTCATTGGCCGTCTAAATACACTTATTCTCTCCGTCGCTCTTTGCGTAATTGCATGTCTAGCTCTTTGGTTACCAGCCAACAACTCCACAGCTATGGTCGTCGTTTTCTCCGTCATCTTCGGATTCGTTAGCGGTAGTAATCTTAGTTTGAGTCCAGTATGCGTGGGTCAGATGTGTAAGACTGAAAACTATGGTCGCTATTATTCCACATGCTGGATGGTGGTTGCGTTTGGAACTTTGACTGGACTACCTATTGCGGGACAGATTCTCACCGCTAGTGGAGGCGATTATACGTGGCTGATCGTTTTCGCTGGACTCTCTTATGCATTGGCGGGATTCTTTCTCGTTGTTGCGAGAGTTCTAGCGGTGGGATGGTCGATTCGTACAGTCTACTAATCAACCCACTGATTCATGACGCAGATGATTATTCATCTCATCCCTTCTTTTCTCTTCAGAAACTTACATGTTTGGATATTTTTAACTCGAATAATTGGAAAAGGTCAGAAACGAGTAAGACCTATTTTTGGATAGCTGGGCGGACACTCGTCACAAAGAATTTGGATAACCTACTTCTCGACACTCTTTTAATGTCTATCTATCTGCAAACCATTCTTGCAAAAGCCGTCAGTAGGGTTGTACACAAACATAGGGGTAATTAGCGAACCCCTGGTGATGCGTATCTCAATCGCTGAATGCAATTCTTCTGCGGTTTTTGATGGTTTTTTTTTATTTGATCTGGTGAAGTCATGCACACTTATCCTCGTACTCTTTGTCTCATATAATATAAATTATTGACATCTTATCTCATCTTATCTCATCTTATCCCGTTCTATCCTATTCCATCCCATTACAATCTACTATACTATATTACACTCTACTCTATCCTATCCTATCCCATTCCATTACACCTCAAATCTATATACCTCAAACCCTTACTCGTAATCATTCACTCACTCACTTGTTTTCTTACCTCTTTACTCATCTCCTCACTTCCTTTCATATACACTCACCTCCTTATCTCCTTACCTCTTTATCTCTTTACCTCCTTCCATACTCACTTATACAGTGGCCACTCACTCATTCACTCACATCTTTACCTTCCTTACCTCCTCACTGGCCCGTTTCTATATATCTTAAACCCTTACTCACATACATATATTCCATCTCATCTCATCTTAAACTTATACACCCTAAACCCCTACACACCTTTTTACCCACCTCCTTCCATACACCTCATTCTATCTTATCCCATTTTATCCCATCTAATTATACCTCACTCACCTCCCCATATACCTCACTCACCCCCTCCCTCACCCCCTCACCCCCTCACCTCCTCACCTCTTTTACTTACCCCTATACTTCCTCACCCCCCATAGCCCTCATACCCCTATACTATACCCGTGGGCCACACCTACCTAAAACACAACTCAACTCACAAAATCCAAGAAAAAAATCATTTTAGCAAAAGAGATAAATAAATAGATAAACAAACAGATCAATAAATAAACAGATCAACAAATAAATAGATCAATATACAAATATATAAATTGACTAACTAACTAACTAATCAATCATTTATATACTCAAGTAATGGTCTTTTCAATACGAATGAATTACTTCTATATGATATACCAGACTATACCTTCACTGGCGATACTCATATACATCACACACACAGTATGAGTATGATGCTCTCAGAATGTAATTTCTTGGGACGACTTTAGTCATTAAAAGACGTATATAATCTTAGAATTCATACCTATAACATTATACGAATAACTTCAATTCATCAAAACTATCTCCAAATACAAGACACATCAAGAATTAAAAACAAATTGCATACCATTCAATATTATATTTCATTATCACTGCCATACACACAAAAAGCAATATATGCCAGATCGCTCGATTGAGTACCATCCATCCTGATATGCACCATCCGATCATCGCTGACTTCAGGTGTTTTCCTTTGTTTTTGTGTTTCCCCCCATACTAACTCCTCCGTGGTATGAAATCCGATCATGCGATCATTCTTTTCGTCATGCCATCCTTGGAACCATGTTGATGCAGACTGTCAAACGCCCTACCGATATTTTTTTTATGAAAACCTTTGGAAGTATAACATATGTTACCACTGCAAAAGAAATAAATTAGACTCCTCGTTGCCAGAAACCTCATATGAACTAAATGATGTCGGTGAAAAGCATCATTCTGTGCAGTGAACACCAACGCAATGAAAATCGAGTTCACAGTTGGTTCAACGCCCTCTAAAACTCATCAGCTTCATCCCTCGCAATATCGTCCATGGCTTGTTCCTCAGCATCAGGATCTTCTTCGGTTGGTGGTAGTCTCTCATTTGGAACTATTGATTGATTAGCACGCCATCTAGAAAAAGGTAAGAGATGAGATTTTACCAGGTTCTTTCCAACCCATCATCTTTTCATTAGAAAGATAAAGGTAGAACGAGGGATAGACTTCCTTGACTTGATCGAAATATTTGACACCAATGTTGAGCTCATGAACGTCTACTTCAAGTTTGAGACCTGGGTAGCAATGTTGTAAGAGTTGATCTTCGAGCCAGAACTCTTCGACGCAATCATCGACACCTTCAACATTTCCATCGTCCGTCTTGTCTTCATAGTCAATGCCAGGACCCTCCCAGTATTTGCAAAAAAGTTTTCCGATTGGCTTTAGAGCACCAAGTCCTCGAGGATCTTTGACATGAGAAAATTCTTCGATGATGTCTGCGGAAGCACGATGTACTTCTGTTACCTCGATGAACTTGCTTTCAGCCTTCACGACATGAGTATCACCCTTCTTGGCTTGCTCAAAGTGGCTTTTGTTACCAATGAAGGCTACAGCTCCTTTGAAAACAAACTCAGAAAGAGGCAAACTGAGTAGGACAATGTTGGTAGACCATTGCATTGAGATGTCATCAATATCCGACCATGCTGTGTAAACCTCCATGTGATGCTTGTAGGTTACGCCATACAGCGTTGATGCGGCCGTGTTGAAGTCGCCAGGAAGCATGCGTTGGAGTTGCCGGATTGATGTGTATTCTTTCTCAGCTGTATCACATAGCTTTCTTGCGGCCATGACTTCTTTGGTATATTCTTTACATACCTCATGAGCCAAGACATAGTTTAGGAAGTTCCTAAGCACTGCGCAATACATCTTCATCTCCTCTTCCCCATCACCGAGGATTTTGTGTGCTCTGTAAGAACTGTGGAAAGATTAGTACATTTGACACCACGTGAATAACTCATGGTAACTCACAGAAAGCCTCTGACAATTCCCTCCCAGTCCACAACCCAATTTTCGGTATCTGAGGGGTCATAGTATTTGTTATTGCTAGATCGGACAAAATCTGTGGCTTGAATGGCGGCAATCTCTGCTGCAGTGCTGTTCTCTAAAGTTTCTTTATCTAGACCACCATTGAAAGTTTTAGTGCCAGATTCGATTCCTCCCAAAGCAAAGTACTTTGTCAGGATATTCGAGCGAACGCTATCAAGCTTGCGTCTAGTGATGAAAATACTATCAGCAATGAATCCAGTAATTTGACAAGATGTATCAAGACCTACCGTGCTCTGTAGCGTTGAATGCATGTCTGAATTCGCCTTCGAATATCGTCAGTTTACGAACCCTGCTTTGGGGATGATCACATACTCATCAAATGGTCGGTCTCTGGTAACTATTGTCAGTGAAGTTGACTGGAGAACAATAAAGTACTTACTCATCGTAAACATCACATTCCTCTTCAAATTCATCCGGGGTGAGAGGTGGGTCGGCATAAAATTCTATCGTGTCACGTTAGGAACGTAATTTCTTTTCCATATAAGACCGATCTTGTATACCTTCAAATCCTGTTGGAGCTGCCTTTTTATTCTTTCCACTACTCCTCTTCTTCTTTTTCTTGGGTTCACCCTCTTTACCTTCAGCAACTTGCGTACTACCTTCTGCGCCTCCTGGATTGACTGCGCCTTCTTCCTGCTTCTCGGGCTCTTCGGGAGTAACAGGGAGTCGAGCTACAGGAGTGCCGGTGCCAGAAGCGGGGGTAGCTGACAAGTGGTCTGGGGTAGGAGGTGGAACTCTTGGAGGAGCCGGTGGTGTCTTCGAACCAGTCGCGATCTCAGCAACATTGATAACAATACCTGAATCGTCGCTCGAGCTAGATTTTGATTTTAGACTCAACAACTGATCCCTAGTATAACGCTTGCTCTTCTTTAATCCATCTCCATCAGTAGCTCCGTCAATACCTCGTAGACTGGATAAATCGAGCTCGCTGATGGCACGAGATAACTCTTCAGGTTCAGGACCTACAGAGTGGGGCGCCATGATATTGAGATACCTAACCCAGATGAAATGGATCAGTATCGTAATCAATAAATTTCGAAGAACCAAAAGTTATAAGGGGGGTTGATATGATGGCGAATACTAGTTGATCAAGGTTGTACAGGTAATACAAAAAGGAAGAAGAAGTATAGAAGGTTGTGAAAAAGAAAGGAAGAGTTGGGTTACACTACCTTTGTGATTCTTTTTTTTTCTTTTTGGGAGGGAAGGAGGGGGGGGGGTCGGGGGAGAGGGGTTGCAACTTGCAAAGGTCGATGGGAAGGACCTTTTAAGAAATTGATCAAAGACCAAATGTGATTAAATTGTTGAATTCGATGAGTTAAAGTGAATTTGATATTGTGGGTTATTATTCCCAAGGTGAATTGAAATTATTAAGAGTGCTTTCAAGAAGTGAAAAAGAAGAGATTGAAATTGTGCAGACAGCAGGGTAAACAAGAAGAGGATTGAAATTGTTAAGACAGAAGGGGTAAACAAGTACCAGTTATTAGTCAAATCTGAAATTGGAATTTGATGTATGTATACCGGTATTGTGTATTACAGGTAAGTAGATTGATTGTATCGATGAGTTGGTTTGACACTTTTGTTTGCAAATATCAGATAATGCCAAACAATAACACAGAGGAAAAGTAGTGAAGAGTAAAGAGTGACTCACATTGATTGGAGGTTGAGTAAATGTGAGTGAGTGTATGTGTGTACACAGTGTAGACGTGTAAATGCTTGGTTGTGTGGGTGTGTGGGTGTGAATCTGGATGTGTGGTTGTTTGGTTGTTTGGTTGTGAATCTAGATGTACCAGCTGATATGAGTCAAATGAGAACAGATGGAGGTGATATGAATGATTGTGTAATGAGTGAAAATTAAATGCTAAAGTATAACTTATTTATAAAAGGAAAGGTCATTTATTATTCAGGAAAATGCAAACAAGAAAAAGAAAAAGAAGAAGAAATACCTTCCTAGAGTAGAGTACCAAGGTCAAGTTGCTAATGTGACTGATGCACCTTTCCATTTATCTTCTCTTCTATCAAATATTTATTTTGATTTTGTGATATATTTTATTATTTTGTTATCATTCTTTTAGCAAACAAAAGTAAATATTAGACCACCGACCGCCTCAATACACAACACCGAGTACTCTCACTCTCGTACCTGGTTGCGGGGAAAACGGTGAAGAATAGCAGGGAAAAACAGTATAGAGGTTAGTAACATTTCATTGCCTTTTTTTTTCCCCCTCTTCCCTATTGGATTCCACCATTATTTGGATGGCCTCGAAATCGGTCGCCATCTGTTCCGCCATAAAGAATGCCTCGTTTCTCTCTTTGACGTCCCTCTTACTCAAGATTGGTTCTGGTCCTGGCCCTGGTCGCTGCTCTCTCGCACTACTGCAAGATAGCACATCTTCGCAACTTCGCATCTTCGCATCTGAGTACTATGGTCAAATCTTACTCGTTCCCTCCGTACTCGTTGTTGGAAGGATATAAATGAGGTACCTCCATTATACAGGCATGTCATGGTTAGGTACATTGCAGTGGCAGTGTCGATGAAGTAAGTATGCGGAAATCAGCAGCAATCGTGCATTTACGGGTCCGAAACTTTGCAAAGGAGGAAGTTACAAGGGTTTCTGTGCTTGTGCTGATGGAGGAGGGGGTGGGGGGGGCGCTACTGTTTCTTTATGAGGAAAGGTTTGAAAGCGTTGAAAAGGTTCCAGCGTTGTTCTACCGCTCGGCAAGGTGTTGTGATTAGTCTCCGCATGGGAAAGTGACCCTTGGAAGTTGGATCATCTCATCTTGGGCGCCCAACCTGAATCTGATTAATATTGAACATTTCATTTCAGTTGGTCTTTGAACATTATTGATGCCACGACAAACGTCTCACCAACGCCCCTTTACTACATCCTTATAATACTCAGCCTACTCGGAGTCTTACAATAGCGCGAGAAGACAAATAGAAGGAAAACCGTCAGGGTTACTCCTTCATTTGATACTTATATTCTAACACATTCCATTCAATAATGACAGTTCCCTGAGAGTTCGCGACAAAAGAAAGATACGATGGCCAAATCTCTTCCGATTTGTGCCGACTTGGTCGATTGCAATTATGCTGTCGCAGGACAGTAAGTGCCAAATTAACCTTTGATTTTGGTGGGAATTCATCTTTTAACCTTCAAGCAGTGACGGCACTCTTTCCGATGTTGATGGCGAATTGTTCATTAAACCTTGTACCGATACCGAGGTCGCATTTTATAACGAGACCATAGCAAACCACGAAGACTTTTACGATTTTATGCCAGATTTTCTTGGAACTTTGCAATTGGACGAGAAGCAGGATAACACAGTTGAAGAGAAAGCGGCCGAGTTGATTGCGCAGTATTCAAATCTTGAGGGCTTTTACCCAGGCAGAACTAATGGCAAGAGAATTTCGACCAATCAAGCCGTCGTTCTCATGAATGCGTCGCACGGATTTGTGAAGCCCAATATTCTCGATGTCAAACTTGGTGTACGATTATGGGCAGATGACGCGCATCAAGATAAGAAGACGAGATTTGACAAAGTTACGGAACAGACCACACACAAAGATTTCGGATTTCGCATCGCAGGTATGAGAGTATGGCAAGGACCGGATGCCAAGGGCGACGATATAGACAAGGACGGCTATAGAATATATAATAAAGACTACGGCAGGTTCGAGTTAAACAATGGCAATGTTCATGAAGCATTCAAGAACTTCATCTTCACAAAATCGGCTGGTATCGACAACGAGTTGGGACAATTAATATCTCAGGCTTTTCTCTCTGATTTGAGAAGGATACAAGATGTGTTGGAAAGTCAGGAGAGCAGGATGTACTCCGCTAGTCTTCTATTCGTTTTTGAGGGTGATGGGAAAGCATTGCGCGCTGCAATGGAAGAATCTAGCCGGACACCTCCCCCCACCACGACCGAACATGCTTCCTCATCGTCGGGAGAGACCCAGTCATCCTTTGAAGAGGAGGAAGAGGATGAAGATGACATGGAAGAGGAATCTTTCCCAAAAATATATACTCTAAAGGTCATAGATTTTGCTCATGCGCAATGGACCCCTGGGCTAGGACCGGATGAAAACTCTCTTGTAGGAGTACGTGGCGTAGGGAAAATCCTGGAAGAGCTGGCGGATTCATGATGGTCAGAATGGTCACGATGATCATAATTTCCTACGGCATATCGAGTATACCATGTTATGGGGATGCTCTCGTTGTGCGGGAGGTGTAGGAATCATGGGCTTATTAGATGCAAGGCATATTTTTGGAGTTGCTTGGACAGGGCATACATCTACGCATGAGCATGGCTATTTATTATGATACCCCAGTGCAATTGGACATTTAGATTGCTTTCCCTTCTCACCTTTTGACGATCTACGAGTACATACAATTAATTTAAAAATGCTTGAATTTTTGGTCTAAGTCCTTCCTTAACATGTCTACGTCCGAATCTGAAAGGTGCAGTATGACTAATTGCAAGAGTCAACAACTTATGCGTCTCACTTCATGACATGAGGTGATCATGGCTTTGAATGTACTCTACGAGTATTGTAAAGAAGGCTAAGCCCGAACTCTTTACGCTTTTGACATAATGCTGTGGAGGAAAGGGAATACCCGGATATCCTTTCGTGATATTGACATGGCTAACCAAATATTAAAGATCAGATTCTCGAGATATTTGCTGACCTACCGAGTACCTATTGACTCTAGTCTCTAGAGAAGAAGAAGAATCGTCAGGCGAGGCTGTAATTGTACTGTATGTCATATACTATATACTCGAGTATACCTAGTAATCATTTAAACAAAGGTCGGTGATATGTATGATATTAATTGCTTTTCAGTAACAGGTGGGCATTGCTGTGTTGTGTAGCTTGGACTGTGGAAACTTTTTTAATTCCTGTTATTAAAATGGATGAATGTTCTTGTCTGATTCTGGTTTCTGGTTAATTGCTTGTTTACAATGTTTTGAGTTGTGAAGATTCATAAGTTGATGTGATATGGTATGATATATCATACACCCAGTTTAATAATGTGTTTCCAAAAAAAAATCGCGATTTTGATCTCTGATAATTTTTCATCTTAATCTCAAAATAAATTTTTTATTAAATAAGCTATTTCAGTATTTAAAAATAATTGAAATAATTCTAATAATCAATAATTCAATTATATTAAAAAGATTTTTAATATTGAAATTATTTTGATTAAGATATTATAGATTGAAATTTGAGAAATTCGATTTGAGATTAAGATTGAAATGAAAATTCGCAAAAAGTTAATTTTCTTCTGGAAACATGTTATTAAACTGGGTGTAATGGATTTCACATGAATGACAAATTACCTTCTGTAAGGCTGAGAGACCCCAGCAGCGCAAACCTTAAATTCCCATACCCATAGCTTTTACTCAAACTCAACATTCTTTGAAGCCCCCTAGCCAAAAGCTTTACCCCATGCTCCACAACTTCCCTATAAATACTAGGTAAGAAATGTCGATACCGGGGTTAGGTCATGCTGTTCCTGCTGTAAGTAATCATATTGCTAGATAGCTAAAAACTCAAGAGATATGATCATTCATTAACTGACTGTACACACATAGGCAGCTGCAGCACCAACATCTGTTTCGCAGACGAATATCCATGAGCTACAAGCAAACTCAGAATGGCGGTTCGAGGTCGCGATAGGATCCAGTGTTGAGGTTAAGGTATGAATCCTATCATAAGATAATGATAATGCGAGAAGCGTAACAGATTCTTATCAATAAACCAACAGGTTCTCTCAGGCACCGCCGAAATCTTCGGCACAGAACTCGCTCTTAATCACACATATACATTCCACGGCAGCAAATCCTCCATCTACACCTGGCACGGCTGTCGCCTCGAAGTCAACGGACCATGCGAGGAATACACCGCCGAGGAAACGCCCATGGTATCCTACGTCAACACGCATTTCGCGCTCGAGAATCTGCGGACCGAAGCGCAGAAAGCGGGGAACGATGGACCGCGCGTGTTGGTTGTTGGGCCCAGTAACGCGGGCAAGACGAGCTTGGTCAAACTCCTCACTGCTTATGCCATACGCATGGGTCGACAGCCGGTGGTGGTGAATGCGGATTCGAGAGAGGGTATGCTGAGCATACCGGGTAGTATGACGGCGACGGCTTTTAGGAGTATTGTGGATGTGGAGGAGGGGTGGGGGAGTAGTCCGACGAGTGGACCGAGTCCCGTGCCCGTGAAGCTGCCGTTGTGTTATTATTATGGGCTGCCGAGTCCGGAGGATAATGCTAAGTTGTATAAGCCGGTGGTGACGAGGCTGGCGTTGGCGGCGGCGGGTAGATTGCAGGATGATGCGATGTGTAGGGAGACGGGCATGATTATTGATACGCCTGGGGTTATCAGTCAGGGGAAGGGCGGGTATGAGTTGATTTCTCATATTGTGTCTGAGTTTTCGGGTGAGTTTCTTTCAAGACGGATTTGGGTTGAGATTAGGGACTAATGATATGATGTTGGCAGTCAATATCATTCTAGTATTGGGCTCAGAACGTCTACATAGTGATATGATACGGCGCTTCTCAGCACACAAAACTGATAGCGGCGAAGTCATCACCTTGGTCAAATTAGACAAGTCAGGAGGTTGTGTTGATAGAGATGATATATTCATGCAACAAATGCGGGACGCAACTATCAAGGAATACTTTTTCGGGGATGCCAAAAGAACCTTGAGTCCACATACCCAAGTTGTCAACTTTGACGAGCTTTCAATTTTTAAAGTCAGAGAAGGTATGCATGCAATACACTCTCTCTCCCCTTTTTTTCTCTTCATCTCAGCATATAATAATATATTGTCGCAATAACATCAACATCAAACACTAACACTAACACCCTACAAGCACACTCAATGCACAACATGTTTCTACCCGGTGGAGACGAGGAAGCCGAACCCACACAATATGAGAAAGCAGAGCCGATTCCCATGATGTTGCATTGTATATTCGCCGTCATGCACGCGTCGGTTCGAGATTCGCAGGATACTATAAGAGATGCTAGTGTCATGGGTTTCGTATATGTGGCAGAGGTGGATGAGAAGAAGAAGAGGTTGAAGATTTTGGCACCGCTCAATACGAGAGTCACGGATAGACCGTTGATTTGGGGGAGTTGGCCTGAAGCCCCGGTGAACTTGATGGGGTAATAAAATAATGCACGATATTATTAAGAAGAAATTTCTAATACATGTTTTTGGTGGGTAGGTAGATGTGCCAGGGTGAAAGCAAATAAAACAGTCAAAACTCCTGCATATAATCAAGGAGCATTAAGCTCATATTACCCAAATTACGCCGGTCCGGTCTGTCCATATTCGAACCATCCTTGATATCCCTCATTCATCCTTCATTCATCACCATAATATCCCATTGATCATTCCGTCGCCCCCTCTACCTCCACTCTAATCCCTCGACTGCACCTTATGATCCCCCTTAACAGCCTCCGCATACGTCGGCGGCACGGCCCCCCCACTACTTCCCTCTCCACCCCTCCCCTGTGCGACACCCTGCGCATCCTCTCCCGCAATAGCCCAACTACCATTCTGCTGCTGCTGCACCGTCGGCGCTTCCATCGGAGCCGTGGTTCCATACCCCTGTTGCTGACGCTGGACTCTCGCATTCTTCGGTACTCGCTGGGTTCCCCCATGAGGTCCTTGTCCTTGTACCACCACATAGGTTACACGAGCGCCTCCTTCCGAGTCGGGGATACTGTCGTAGTCATAGTCTTGCTCGGGAAATTTGGCAATTATGTACCAGGCGTGTAGGAGTCCCGGGATGAATCCGAGCATGCAGAGGAGAATGTTGATGAGGGAGTCGACGGAGCAGAGGCCGCGTTTTACCCAGACTAGAGGGGAGGGGGTTGGGTTAGTGGATGGATGGGATAGATGTATATGCAGGATGTGGTGGATGTGGTGGATGTGGTGGATGTGGTGGATGTGCGGAGGGAGATGTTGTGGAAGGTGAGTGAGTGCGTTGCCACGTCTGGTTACGGGGATATATGGATATATTGGGGATGATATGCTTACCTGCGAGAGGAGGAAAGAGGATGGCGATCAAGCCGAGGAAGATATCGGATGAGCACATTTTGTTTGTATTTATTGAATATGTGTGTGTATATTTTGTAGGTATTGGAGAGAGAGTTGTTTATTGAAGAAGAAAAGATGATTGAAGGAGTGGATTTATGCGAAATCAAATGTCTCTGTTCGCGGGCGAAGCTGTGCAGGTGGTTCGTCATCGGAGTTCGGACCTTGTGAATTGAAGGAGGCACAGGAAAATCCTCTTTACTTGTTTAAGATTAGTGTTGATGCAGCCTTGAAAAGCTTATCGATAAGTTATCGGAAGTCGGAGTTAAAGATTAGAGAGGAGAGCTAAATAATCCCTGCGCTTCTCAGGTCCAGACATTTGATCATTAAAAAAGTTCCAAGATTTGATTCATTTGACATTACAATTATCTTTATAATCTAAGAACAACAAAAATGACGGACCTTGATATGGATGTCGATATAGATGAAGAGGATGATCCAATAGTCAGCTCCTATGACATTTTCATTAAACCTCACATTTCTGAAGGTCGAGAAATCTACATACTACAATTTCCAAATCGCGATATTGAGCAACGATACGCCGGCTCAAATGATGCTCAACCTCTCAAGTTTCGAACTAAGCCAAGAGCTGGAATGGTCGAAATGGATGTCCCAATCGATGCGCGCAGGAACTATGACAAAGATAAGGGTGTGAAATGGGGAGATGCTATTAAGAAGAGTAATATGGTAAAGGGCGGGGGAAGTCATGGTTTACCAGGTGGATTTGGAATTGGAGGGGCACAACCGACTGGGAGAGGAAGAGGACGGGCGCAAGATCAGGTTGATCCTGAGAGAGTGATGGCGGATTTTGAGGGTGCTATTCGAAGTGAACAGGTTTTGGTGAAACAAACTCTCGGTGGTCAAATAATTCCAGTCGAGAAAAATAGTCCTCAATACTTTCTGGGCGCTTTTCAAAAAGGTAAATGGGGATGTTACATTCTTCTAAGAAAAATGCTAATTCTAGCTAGACAAGCTTCATCTTACCCCCATTGACCATATGGTCCAGATGAGACCTCAATTCCATCATATCGACGCACACGCAGAACAGGAAAGGCAGAACCGACCCCGTGAAGGACCTGTACCTAAAAGCACAGAAGCTCGAGCTATTCATATGACTGTAAAGTCAAATATTGATGGAGAGGAAGATGGAAGTGACAACATCGGCGTACGAATTGCTTCTGCGCAACAGGAACAATGGCAAAAGCATCGATACGTTGATGAGGATCATCCAGCTGCTTGGGATTGCTATCATGAAAATATGTTCATTTACCCGGAGCAGGATGAGAATGGAAAGGACCAAGAACTCTCAACGGATGCGGTCCCAAGGTTGATTACTGGAATGGATGATATGGCATACATTGATACAATTAGTGCGCCGAATAATGCTGCAAAGATGTCAAGGGCGAAGGTGGACGCGCAGACCGTTGATCTAGATGATGATGAAGAGTAGAAGTGTATGATATGGGGTGCATTCTCTGGCGTATAAGATCAAAAAGATACCCCGCATATGTCTTTGGTGGACGAAATACTAGGTAGACAATTGAACATACTTCAGCATGGCTTCATATTTGTTTGTGTACTTGACTTGATGTGAAGTTGAGAAGTTGTTAACCTTGGGACGACAGTTTGTATATTCTCACAATTTTGACTGTCATCTTAAGTTCAAAGCTTGAGAAGGAGGATTTCTTAAATCCGCATGTAGGCGATAACGATAAAATATTCCAACATCGTTATCAGGCAAGCTCGGCCGACAAGGGAGCTTTATTACTTTACATCCTAAGCCCGCCTCCACCCAAGTAAACAACTACTACAGACATTTCCTCTACACGATCGAGAGAATCAATATGGCTTATCTTGCCCCAATACATAGACCAAGTAGTGTACGTCTTACACTCCGATTGAACCTTTTAGATCACAGAGAAGAATGTCTAGTACTTGCGTAAGTAACATCTTATACAAACCCTCATGATACAAATTCACAACGCAACCTATGCTAATTGTTGCACAGCAAAGCAAATCGATTGGAAATATGGAGGACCACAGAAGAAGGCCTTACGATGGCATACTCAAAATCCATATACGGCCGCATATCCATGCTCCAAAAGATTCAACCCGCTGGATCCAGAACCGATCATCTCTTCGTGGGGACCGTTCGCGCACAGTACTTCACCGTGATGTGGAATCCCCATACGCAAAAACTGGATACCATGCAATCATTTGTCGACATCTCCCAAGAACATATGCGGGATTCGGAAAGTAGGGATAGATGTCTTGTGGATCCGACGGGGCGATTATTGGTTATGGAACTATATGAGGGGGTGTTGAATCTAGTGAAGATTGTGAAGCCGAGGGGGGGCAAGACGGATTACTTGGATAAGCCTGACCAGGTTCGGATTTCGGAGATGAAGGTTAGGGCGAGTGCGTTTCTGTATACGGATACTAAACAGCCGAAATTGGCACTGCTCTATCAGGATGCGCGGGAGAATGTGAAGTTGGCGACATATAGGGTGTTGGATGAAAAGGGACAGCCTTCGCATTTTGATCCGAAGAGGAATAGGGAGAATGATGTGGATGATTTGTGTGTTGGGGCCATGCATATCATACCGGTTCCGAAGGGGGGCGATGAGGGGAGCAAGAGATACATTGTCAGGAATGCGACGACGGCGAAGGCTAATCTGGGAGGACTGGTTGTTGTAGGGGAGACGAAGTTCACGTATCTGGATGATGAAAGTAAAGCGATTGTCGAATATGCGCTGGATGAGGCGGTATTATGGGCAGCGTGGGAACCGATCGATGAGAGGAATTATCTGCTGGGAGATGATTATGGATATTTGTACGTTTTGTCGATACTGGTTGATGGTGCTACAGTTACTGGAATGCACGTTTCGAAAATAGGTCAGGGCTCGAAGCCTACGTCTTTGGAGAACTTGGGAAATGGGATTTTCTACGTTGCTTCGCATGAAGCGGATAATCAAGTCATTCGAATAGATTTGGAGTCGAGTCCGGGTCACAGTGTTACGGTGTTACAGATACTACCGAACATTGCGCCCATATTAGATTTCACTGTCATGGATATGGGTGGTCGAGAGGGAGAGAACCAATTGAATGAGTATTCTTCAGGTCAAGCACGAATAGTCACGGGTAGCGGAGGATTCGAGGGGGGAAGTCTGAGAAGTGTTCGAAGTGGTGTTGGACTTGATGATACTGTAATCCTTGCTGACATGGAGGGTATTCGTAAGGTCTTCGCAATACATTCTGGTCCAAGTCTACCAAATGATACTCTTGTAGTGTCATTTTCCACAGAAAGTCGATTCTTCAAGTTCGATAAAAAGGGAGGCATTGAAGAGGTGGACACTGTCAGAAACTTATCAGCTACTTCGGAAACACTTCTAACTTACAATCTCGATGATGGCTGTATATTGCAAGTCACGCAACATGAGGCAACAATACATGGTAAATCCCCCGGGCATCGATGGCAACCTCCCGACGGACAAATAATCACAGCAGCTTCTGGGAATCAGAACTACGTTTTACTTTCATCGAATGGACGTACACTGGTCACTTTATCAATTGAACAAAACTTAGCCGAAGTTGCGTTTCAGGAGCTTGGCGATGATCAAGTAGCTTGCATACATGTACCCCAACTATTGGGAGATATAGGTGTCGTCGGTTTATGGAAATCAGGATCGGTATCTCTACTTGATCTTGGGACTCTCAACACTATCGTATCCGAAGAGTTACGACGAAACGATAGTGCTTCTATACCGAGAGACATTGCTCTTACTCAAATTTTGTCCCCAGAACTTTCGGGTCCAACTTTATTTGTTAGTATGGAAGATGGTATTGTGTTGAGCTTCAATGTCGATAAGGACAATTACTCACTTTCCGGTCGAAAAAGCGTTGTGCTTGGAACACAACAGGCGCAACTTCAAATCTTACCACGCGATTCTACCACTTTTAATATTTTCGCAACGTGTGAGCATCCTAGCTTGATATATGGTTCCGAGGGGAGAACTGTGTATTCGGCTGTTACAGCTGATGATGCAGTCGCTGTATGCTCACTCGATAGTGAAGCATATCCTGGTTCGGTAGTCGTGGCTACAACGAATATACTCAAGCTCTCAGTCATCGACAATGAAAGGAGAACACATGTCAGAACTTTACCGGTTGGTGAAACCGTCAGGAGGATAGCATACTCGGCCAAGGAGAGACTATTCGCTATTGGATCCATCAAGCGCGAGCTAACGAAAGGACAAGAAACCGTCACTACATCTTTTAGATTCGTTGACGAGGTCGTTTTTGGCGAGCTAGGCGAGCCATATTACTTACCACAAAACAACGAAATCATCGAAAGTGTCGTACGAGCCGAACTTCCAACAAGACATAGCGACGGTGAACTAGTCGAGCGCTTTCTCGTTGGTACAAGTTTCCTTTCCGACACTGAAGCAGACGTTCGTGGTCGTCTTCTTATCTTCGGTGTCAGCAATGACAGAACTCCATACTTAATCGCTACACATATTCTCAAAGGTTCTTGTCGATGCATTGGTGTACTTGACGGTAAGATTGTGGCGGCACTGAACAAGACAGTCGTCATGTACGACTATGAAGAAAGATCTAGTGGCAGCGCCAGCCTCTCGAAAATCGCCACATATCGCTGTTCAACCTGTCCAATCGATATCGATATCACAGGCAACATAATAGCCGTAGCTGATATAATGAAGTCCGTTGCTCTCGTCGAATACACACCAGGTGTCGATGGCCTACCAGATAAACTCGAGGAGGTGGGAAGACATGCACAACAAGTCTTTGCAACGAGTGTGGCGGAGGTAGATACAGATACGTATTTAGAATCAGACCATGATGGTAATCTGATTGTGTTGAGGAGAAATCGAGAGGGAGTTACTAAGGAGGATAAATTGAAGCTGGAGGTGCAATGTGAGATGAATTTGGGGGAGATGGTTAATAGCGTGAAGAGGATCGATGTAGAAACTTCGAACGATGCGCTATTGATACCAAGGGCTTTTGTCGGGACGGTAAGTTTTGTTTCCCTTCCTCATCCTTTTCACATCAGATCCTATCCAAAAGTCCACATTACTAACACACCTCTCTCAATCCTAGACCGAAGGATCCATCTACCTCTTCTCCATCATCCCACCCCAAAACCAAGACCTCCTCATGCGTCTCCAAAACCGCCTCGCATCACTCCCCGCCCTCTCCTTCTCAGACCCCTCCTCCTCAAACCCAATTGAATTTTCCCCTGGCAACCTCAATTTCAATAAATATAGATCGTACGTATCGGCGGTCAAGGAAACGAGTGAACCCTTTAGATTTGTAGATGGGGAGTTGATTGAGAGGTTTTTGGATTTGGAGGGGGGGTGCAGGAGAGGGTGGGGAAGGATTTGGGGGTCAAGGGGGAGGATTTGAGGGGGCTGGTGGAAGGCTTGAGGAGGTTGCATTAGAGGAGGAGGGGAGGGGCTTGGTGGGGGAGATGGTGGTGGAAATTGGATTTGGGGGGGGGGGCAGGGGATGGATTGGCGTGGGTATTCGAGGGGTTTTTGGGAATCATGGGTTTATAAAGGCTATGAATATGAATATGAATGAAACGAAAGATTTAAAAGGAAGGAATGATATGATGTAAAATGTAATGAAATGGGAAATTACAAAAAAGCCTCACATAGTAAAGCGAAACAGACGACAAAATAAAATAGATAGACAATAGCAATCTTGCAAAGGCACTTGGAAAATTATCCTGGGTATACTCGAGTAGTTGATATCATACATATATATATACTTGCACGATTTATCGAGTTAATGAGATGGTATGTATTGATAGGTTACAATGTAGATTTTAGTAGAACCTTCGAAATAATTTCCCTACTTCATGGCTGGTGTTCTTCTTTCTGGAAGGGAAAAGGTACTTGCATATGCCATATACCTACGTTTTGCTTTGGCTATGTGGCGAATCTTCACAGTGAGCGATACAGACGATCATTTCATTCAGTCCCGTGAGCTGCATGTTTGTGCCCGGCAAAGCTCAAGTTAGGTATATGAGACTGGTGTCAAATAGTCACTTCACTCCACGCATTCAGTAAGTCAAGATCATTAATGGTAATTTATGTTCATTTAAATCTTTGCGGTATGACTAATTCGAACCACTAATATATTTGTATACAACAGAAAAGTCCTTGCCCTTACAATTCTCCTGTTGCTCCACAGCTTCATAAACCTCTCGAGCTCTATTACCAAGCTCAAGCTTGGCCTTGACTTCTTCGGCTGCCTTCAATGCAAGTCCTAGGTCTTTCTTCATAAGACTTATGCCAAATCCTCCACTGTAATCTCGTTCGGCTGGTGCACCAGGTACTATACCTTTGACTGGATTATTGAGTTCACTTGGCCAACATTTGCCAGTGCTGCTATTGATCAAATTACCTAGGACTTGTGGATTGAGACCCCACATTATTCCTAGATTCATGGCTTCGGCGGTTGCGATGTTGTTGATAGCAAGGAGATAGTTGTTGGCGAGCTTTCCAGAAAGACCTGCACCTTGAGCTCCACAATGTAGCACCCTCTTGCCCATCATGGTCAGGACTGGGCTTACTCGATCCACTAGATCATCGGGAGCGCCAAGCATGAAGGTCAAAGTTCCTGCAGTGGCGCCAACAACACCTCCGGACATTGGTGCATCAACAAATCGGCCTTGTTGAGTAGTATGAACTGCCCTGGCAACCTCTCTGGAAGATGTGGGATCAATTGTGGAACAATCGATGAAGAGACGATGAGGATTGGCGACTACCGCTGTAGATAGTGGAGGTTTTAGTATTTGACTATACACATTCTTTACATGTGCTGGTTCTGGTAAGACGGTAATGGTAGTTTCCTGTAAACATTGTGTATTAGCAAATTGAAACAGATATTTATCAAGATAAAATAGACAATTAATTGTAATTTAATCAGAGGATTGGCTTTGTTGTATAATATAAAAATCATTAAAGAATCAACCAAGACGGTTGACCCCAACTTAGATCATTCGTGGAACAAACTCATCACATAAATAGGGTAAGGAAATTGGGCGTGTTGACACAAGAATAGACTGGGTCAACTTACAGAATTCTCAGCAGCTTCCCTAACATTGCTTGCAGCCTCAACAGTGGCTCCAGTCCCAAGAGCTTTTGTATCTTTCGCAAATCTCTCGACAGCTTCGGCATTGATATCATAAACTCTTATCGTATCGGTAGCAGGTAATTTCGCTTGAAGATTCCTCGCCATGTTGTATCCTACGTAGTGTTAGCAACAGATCTTTCGGTTTGGCAGATGGAGAAATAAACAAACCCATTTGACCGAGTCCAATAAAACCCCATTGTGCCTGTCTTCCCACTGAAGATGAGAAGTTCCTTTGCTGAACAGATCGAAATAATGACCGTACAAAAGGCGAATTCATCCTGATATGTTCCTTCATTTTTGCACTCCAATTCTCAACCTAGATTTGTGGAAAGTAAATTGGAAGAGCGGAAGTGGGAGGTGTGATGATGACCACAGATGAAGCGATGGGGACGGCCAACCGTAAAATCTGACGAATGAACGAATCGGGCAAGTCCCTCGGGTCGCATTGTATGGGGGAATGTGTGGGGAAGTTAGCTGCGCTTTTTTTGCTTGTGAACCTTTACCCCGACATCCGAGGCAAACCGACAAGATCAGCAGATTTGGCTCTGATAGGAAAGACCTCATATGAGGTCAACCCTGAAAGCTGCATGCTTGCTGGTGAATGTTGACTGTGAGATTAGCTAGAGGAATGAATGTATAGCAAAAAGATTGATGTTTGATTTCTTCATTCAAAAGAACTCATATTTGTTGTATAGAATGAAAAGAAATAGAGAAGAAAATTGCAGAGGAAATGGAAGAAATTTTGAAGAAGAAAAGTTATTTCAAAAATATATGCTTAGTCATTTATTAAGCGAGATAGCTTACCCCTGTCAGCAAAAAGCTTTGACCTTATTTGAGCTTTGATGAATTCCATTAACTTGCGATTTCATTCAGTGATGGACGAGGTTGCAACTCAATATGCCGTCATATAACCACAGATCCACTACTAGTAGAGATACAGATCCATTCATTGCAAGCCAAAGACTCTCTCGCATAACATACCAAACACATAGTTTGGAATCCCCCTCCTTCCATCCATTTTCCAAATACATACAATATCTTTCGGTGTTTGAGGATGAAGGTCTTACGGCTCCCTTCACATCCAAAGCAGAAGTTGACCCATTACCGGGAGCTATGATGAATGCCGATTCCAGTTGATGTCAGATTAGGAACTCCCCGAAACCGGTTCAAGCAATACGGAGTAAGAATTTGTCAAAGTTGAGATCATCGAGGAACATTGTACGTGCGAAGGTTCGCCCAGGTTTGGATACTTCAAGCAAGCGACCGAATGTATACAAAAACGTAATTATTGTGCACTCATTTCGGACTAAAAGACTAACTCGCTATGGTATAAAACGATTGTCAGAGCTCCAAGAGGTAGCTCATTCTTCCTGCCATGCCATTCTATGACCGAATCCTATATAATGTCCAAAATCTTGAGCCCAGATTTGAACCCCGATCAAAATCGCCGCCCAGTAGAACATTATATGAGTGCTTATATATGTCCCCTCCGATCCCATCCCATCTACCTCTTCTTCCCTCTTCCACCCTCAACCACCGCCTCCAACGCACCTGCAGCCCTCCTCTCCCTCCTCCTAAATTCCCCATTGAACATCTCCGGCAATATCATTTTTGCATTTGCATGTTCTTTAGCAAAACCTACTTCTGCCGAATTGCCCAACTTCCCTCTCGTCTCCCTCAGTGCCTCTTCCAACATCTCAGTTCCCACGCCTGTACCTCTATACCTTACTCTTGTAGTCCACGCCCTAACTACACCTTTCCCTCCCTTCCTTCCACTCTTCCCTTTTTTTGGTAAGCCATTCAGATGAGGGGCTCGCTCAATGCGTAGTATAAGAGCTCCAATTAGTTCTTCTCCATATCGAGATCCAATAATGATATCCTCCTCTCCCTCATCATTCTTAGCAAAATTCCAGTTGAACTCCTCAGCCGTATGTAAATATCCGGCAGTTGCAGCTCGTACTGCTACTAAACATGCCATTGTTACTCCTGCAAGTGTGGTTCCCAATAGTCCCAAATCGCTAGTATCTCTGTACTGCCATTTTGTAACGATTCCTATTACCAATGCGTATAACGTAAGGGTGAGCGGATGAAAGATAACTGCTTGAGCGGCAATTTGTCGTTGTTGGGCAATGGAATCTGCGACGAGTTTTAAGGCTTTGATTTTGTCGTCTTCGGCGTCCAAGACTGTAGTGGTAAGTGAGGGAACACCGTCGAGAGGATTGGGCGCAATGATGTCATCGTCGATGTTGGAAGACATGGTTGCGAGAGATGATGAGCGAAGTGGTGGAAGGGTATGAGAGGAATATGCGTCAAGGATAGGAGTCGAGGATGCAGAGTTAAGGGTTGATGGTGGGAGGACTAGATTTGCGCGGAGGAAAGTAAAGAATGCTGGTGGGGGTTGGTTGTTAGCAGAGTTTGGCTAACTTTGAGTAAGTAGTTGGATAATAAGAAATTGGCATTTGCAAAATCAAGTACCTTGAGATGTGAATATCTTCTTTTCACTCACAATTGAGGAATACAGTAAAGAATAGTGAATGCAATGCAATTGAGTTGGTTCCCGTCTACCCCGAATCAGAGAATTGCAAAATGAAACTTCAAAACTTTTCTCCCAAAACCATACGCTCTTCTGTGCTGTTCGAACGAAAGTATTCTTACAAAGAGAAGGAAAAGAACAAGTAAAGATGTAAATGAAGAAACTCACCAGCACTTGCAAGAAACCCTGGGACAGAATTCATTTTATCCACGACAATATTGGCAGTGGTAGTACTAATTAATGTCGTACCGCCATATTGCGACCTTCTCAAATCCAATTCTCTGGGAATAGGCATAGGCACGTGTCTGGGCATGTCCCCAAAAAAGGTAATTGTTACCAACTAAATTAACCCTTTTCGGTACTTCTTCCGAATTTCCTATACCATTTGCGAGAAATGGATGGTTGGGGGTGATTTTATTGAACCGTTCTGCTTTCTGTTGGATGAAAACTCAAGGATCTTAACTTTTTATATGGGATTTTGAAGTAGTTATTGACGTATGAAATCCGCACGTGGGGGATCCAGTTTATTTGGTGAAGAGCTTGTTTATCTTCTTATCGATATGCCAAGAGTTAAAGGTTTGATAATCATCAGGGATGTTATTTGGAACCAAGACATATGAATGTTGAGACACAAATCATGGATGATCATTTTTGAGTGGATGAAGATAGGGCTTAGTAGCCGAGTGAAATGAAGGGGGAGGGGTAGATGTCCAGACTTGTAAAGTTGGTTGCATACGATGGTTGGTGACTGATGGATGTTGGCTATCTCTAGTAATGGATGGAGGAGAATATGATGTTGCTGCCCAGTGTGCCGACATATGCTGTGTAAGTATCGGTATCCAATCAGTTTCGATACCAACTCTCGGGATATCTTTATGGATGGGAAAGATAACTAGTCCGTGTGACCAAATCAATCAGACAATAGTTGCTCAAGTTGGCGTGCTCGATCAGCTCTGTATTCAACATCTCTTTCACCATTATTCGAACTAACGTGTGGTAGAAATAACTTGTCGTGTAGAAGAGACAGACCACTCGGGTTTGCATTAGCTTCAGTTTGTTACTAATGACAGATAACGTTGACGAAGATCTCAGATGTCAGTCACCAGATCTCTGAAGTCTCGATGTCAATGGGTCGAATTCCATATCGCATGTTGAAACACTAGATCCCGCGTCTTGCGCATGTTTTGGTCAATTTGGCGCGGGGAGCGGTAAATCCCTTTGGAGTTTGCGAAATGGGTCCAGCCGTTTAAGTGTCCCATTCCGTCTTCTCACTACACGACCTGTGGATTATTAGGTTACTGCGAGGAAAGAAAATTGATCTTTGAACGAAGTATGAAACCACATTAGAAGTGAGTTTATGGGATGTTCTTGATGCCCCACGATATGCACTTCCAAACCCTAACCATCTTGCAAGTTGCGTACTGGTATGTTTTTTTAACATTGGAGCAACTTTCTATGATGGATCATCTGTTGGAGGTTTGGATTCCAGTGGTGCACGGGCTTCCTATGTATTCGTACTTCCTCGCGCGTTCCTCTTTTATTGTTTCGTCTTTGCCATAACTTCCATGTCATCAAGCTAGCTTTGCTCTCGATTTCATCTCCTCACTATGGATGATCCTATATTTAGTAGTTCTGATATGGGACCATCCAAAACCTGGCCCTTGTGTCCATAATTTGTTGGCAAGCTGCCACATTATGACCGTTGGAAGTGGAGAATAAGAGGGCCTCAGAAAGAGATCTCTGGGATGTTATTGTTTTATTGTGGTTTGAAGTGTATCGAAACTTCAGCTCTATATTTAGCAAGAAAGCTGGAATCTTGGCATACAAGCGCGCGCCTTTTCTCACTTCATAATCTTCTTTTCGACTTCCAACATTCCTTACATTCTTCGGTACCCCGCCTAAGGAACGTGAGACAATAATTATCCCCTGGTCAACTGTGACAGTTTGTTTACCACATAAACAAAACATAGACTGTATACCAAGTAAACAAGCTCCTAAAGGGCAATAGCTTCACCTGTTTGTTCATGTCAAACCAAGCACATGAGGAACTTGGAATTTCGGATGTAAACATCTTAGGCATGTAAATGATGAATCGAAGATGAGAGGGGCGATCATGATGGATATAAAAGGTTGAGAGGTGCCTCAACAAATCGGCATCAGCAGCATCGACTTTCGACATCAACTTTCGACAACATCTCGACGAAAATCACATCACTACACCAAACCTCCCTCCAACACTAACTACCCCCCACACCAAAACAAACATCAAGTCCCCCCAAATCAAACAACCCACCCAAAATGCAATTCCGCCAAACCCTCACCCTCCTCACCCTCCTCACCTCCACCCAGGCCATCCAAGTAACCTACGACCCAGGCTACGACAACGCCTCCCACTCCCTCGACGCCGTCGCCTGTTCCAACGGGGAAAACGGACTTGAAACCCGTTTCCCAGCATACAAAGTACAAGGCGATCTCCCCACGTTCGCACGCATCGGTGGCGCCTCCACGATCGCCGGCTGGAACTCTCCTAATTGTGGCACTTGCTATAGTTTATCATATCAGGGAGTTACGATCAATATTTTGGCCATTGATCATGCGGATATCGGGTTCAATATTGCGGAGAGCGCGATGAATACGTTGACGAAGGGGAGAGCGGTCGAGTTGGGGAATGTGGATGCGGAGTGGACGCTTTTGACGCCCGAGCAATGTGGGTTGCCGACTGGTGGTGGGGGTGCGTGTCGTATTTAGGTTGGGGTAGAGAGGGGTTCAGAGGGTTGGGAGGGTGAAGGGTTAAGGGTGAAGGGTGAAGGATTGAGGGGATGGTTTGGTGTAGTGATGTGATGATTTGAACGATGATGGATATACGGTCGATCGTTTCACTGTTCGATCTTTCATACTCATGTTGACCTTTTAATCATTTGAGATAATTATGATAATAATGTAATTTTCGATATCGAATTTCTTGGGGTACACAAACAGTTAAAAAGTATAGTGAGTTGGCAATACAGTTTAACTCGTGTGAAATGAATGATTCTAGAATACCATACATGCCTATAATCTGTTGATCTGACATGCCATGGCTGAGGAATTCAAAATCGAGGCACAATGGTTCAGAGTGGGAATTATACCATCAACATTTTCACTAGCAAAGAGACTTGATGCCACCAAAACCGAGATGTATGTATTTGATTCTCCACAGATAAAGTAAATAAACAAAACCTTTGGTCGAATATCTAGCACTAACATAATTCCAAACGATTTTCAATTGCAGAGATACAAATACGCTTCAGATTAGACTCAGTATTGATCACGTTCAAAAGCCTGAAGACCATTTGCTTCGACAACTTCGGGTTCCTGCGTGACTCTCGGATACTGGAATTTCCTACCCTTTCTCTTGGGGCCGGTGGTGCTGATGGGCATACCCCAACTGATCATAGAAGCCTCCAAAGGAGATAGCTCATCACAAGGCTCCTCTATTGTGCATTCTTCGGGTATTGGACATGGCTCTGCATCTGGGTCGTTTTCGAAAACTTCGGACTCGGAAAAACGCTTAAGGTCTTCAGTGTCTGAATCTTCGTATTTTGAATTAGCTTGATGCAGTGAGTCTTCCAACAGTCGGTTTGTCAAAACTTACCAAATTGTGGTTCCTCAACTTCTTGATCAGCTGGATCAAGACGAGGGGTTGTTTGAAAGGAAGGCGTGTCCGGAACTATGGTCGCATTAGAAACATTATCCGAGTTGGAAATCGTTGCAAAAATCTTACCAAGACCACCAATGCCAATAAAGTGCTTACAAGTATCCAGGCCCTTCGACAGGATCTCAAGTTGCACTTTCAGTTTTTCCCGCTCTATTTGACTTGCCTCGCATTCACCCGCAATACGAGTGATAAGATCTGGTGTCATACCAGCGACAGAGCGAGGGGAGAACATATCGGCTAAAGGACCGATAAGTTTTCCTTCTACCACTTCGATAGCGATGTCATCGATGAATCGTTTCAGAGCAACCTTTGAACAAATCTAGTTAGTGACTTTATCATCATACATACCGGGATGAGACAAAGAAGTGAAAGTTACATACTTTGTAATATGCCAGCATACAATCCATAGCTTCTGAACACGCAAACCTATTCATGTCTGGCTCGGTGCGATCAACCAAAGCCGTGACAAGCTGATCAAGATTCACACTTTGGTTCACGAAGGTCGATGGCCCCAGTTTATCCACGCCAAAGAAGGATTTGATAATTTTTGTACAGGCATCTCTGCTTCGTTTGTTTCGAGCTTTCTGAAGGTTGTCCGTGAAGTAGTGGTTGTAGGTTATAGGATGGCCCTCTTGATGAGATTTGAGAAGATCGGCAGTTTTTTCATGCAAACCATCGAGTAATTTCTTCAAGGCTGGCTCGAAGATGGTTTGAAAGAGCGCTTTTGACGTTGCTGGATCAGCAACGTATTCAAGTGCCAAGTGCATGCAAGTCTTGGTATCTTTCCAAACGAATGCAATGTGGTCTCTGGCGATTTCCTCCCAGGAAGTTGATTGATCTCGGAACAAGTCAACTACGATCATGGGATTAAATGTTCCTGGCAGCTCTCTGCCTCGAGTTAGTTTCATAAGGACTTCCACCAAATCAATGAACTTGTTTTTGGTGATATGCCTAGGGGCGAGAGCCTTCGAGGTCTTGGCTGGTGTTTGAGAGTCTCGAATGTCATACGAGTGGCCACAAGTAGTCATACGCTCTGCGAATTCGATGTTTGAATTTTGCACCACGGCGCGAATCCGTTTTCGAGACGAAGCATTGCCAAAAAATGGATCATTGTACACACCATCTATAGCAGCTTTTACCAACACCTGAAAGGATTGGCTAATGTCGAATAGATACATCCTCTGATCTTCAAAAGTAGCCCGTGGCTGTCCAAGTTTCTCCAATTGGCGTTGGCATGCATCTGATTTGATCTGAATATCCTCGACCAGGCTCGGTAACTCAGAGACAATCTGATCGAGAAGGACCTGACTAAGACGGAGTCTTAGCTCTTCGATGCCTAGTATGGAGTGAGGAAGACCACGCCAAGCCCCACGAGAGAAATATTGTTCTTCCTCCAAGTTTCGATGCGTAAGAGAAAAGGATCCTGTTTCTGAGTCCATATTCTTGAGGACATGCCAGCCAAGCCGGAATTCCACGTTTTGGTTCTTCGCCAGAGCGACATACATGGCTTCACTATCAGAATCAGGACGCAGAGTATCTGGCTTTGTGATTACACCCAATGTTCTTGTGCCTTTCTTGTCGGCTTCACGGGATAAATTCAACACAACTTGGTTTGCATAATCATTCTTCGCAGAAACCACTGCAAGAATGATGCTCCTCGGTTGATTCATGTATGTGCGGACCATCTCTTGTACCAATGCAACATCCGCCGCCGACTGCTGTTTTGTTTCGGAATGAATCAAACCAGGCAAATCCACAATTGTGAGATGCGGGTGATCGGGTCCCGAGACTTCAACTTTTAGGAGGTGATTCGAGAACGCCTTCCCAGAACTTGTGATCCCCATCGCCGCCTTCGCATTTTCGATCAGAGTTGGAAGTTCTTGGAAATTGTCCAGCGTTTCGTGAAAGGCACCGAGTCTGAGCTTTTCAACATCACTGGACGATTGATGGGCCACTATAGAAACGGTCGCTCCAACTTCAGGAGTCTTTCGCAGAATCAATTCTGTCGGAAAACGCGTACACAGATTACTCTGGATGGGGAAGGAAACTCCAGAGATTGCTTCCACTAAGGCTCGAAGTATCAGCATTTATACTCAAGTAACAATATCAGAGTAGGTAAATAGTCTCCCGGAACAAATGAGAGTCAAATCATGCATGTGGCTTGTGTAAAGAGGGTATAATTGAGTTGGTTACACTTACAAACAGAGCTTTTCCCCGAAGATTGGTCACCACACACAATGATCTGTGGCAGAGAAACATAATGGCTGATGCCTTGTGATCGAAGAGTGTCGATGGAGTTTAGTAATTCAAGCTGCTCTTTAGAGCAAAGTTTTTGAAGAGAATCGGCGGTATCGTAAGGCTTCAAAACCATGGTGAAAACAACAAGGTGTGGAATGAAGGATGGAAAATAAGGTATGGAAAATGAAATGATGAGGAAAGGAACAAATCTATGGGATACCTTAGAATATAAGTAGATCTATAAACAGGATATCAAATCAAATTACTGGTACAGGAATTGTAGACAAACCACAAAAATTCTTACTTTGTTTGTGTGATGCAAAATAATGAAGTGTGAATGCGGCCTCCCGAACTTAATGTAACACTCCCGAAATAAGAAAATCATTTGCTAATCAGTTATTTATTCTTTTCATGTTATTGTAATTCTCAATATCTGATTAGTTATTGAAAAACTTAGCTTTATTATATAAGCCAAACCAGACCCTTGCTGGATAGATAAAGGGAAGCCTTGATCAACTATGATGGCACCACATCTATCAAAAGAAGATGTATTTGATCTAACGATATCTTCTGCACTTCGAATAATTCCCTATATCTCGAAGATAAAAGAGCTGTGTTTGATGCCATTTATATAAAATCCTATTGTCAAACCCCATCTTTTAATAAACATCCCACAAACTAACCTTCCCATCCTTCCCCCCTACAGCAACCCAATGAGTTTCCCTCGCCTTTCTCAATCTCTCTCCTTTAACATCTAATTCCCCAAGTCTCCTTGCTACTTCCTTTCCCTTCCCTTCCCTTCCCTTCCCACTCCCCACAACCTTCCCTTCCTCTTCCCCATCCCCATCCCCATCCCCATCCCCACCCAAAACATCCGCCACCGCCACCGCAAAACACCCCTCCTTATGCCACTTCAACACAGCCAATTCCCTCATCTTCGCTACCCCATAAACCCTCGCTCTCCCATCCCATCCCGCCGTCACAGCAATCTTCCCATCATTACGAATTTCCACGCCCTGTTGTCCCGCATGAGCTGTTTTAAGTATTTTCGGTTCGTTTTTTTGGGATACTAGCGTGGATGTGGATGTTGATGTGAATTTGGAGGTAGACTTAGAGGTACGGTTTGTAGATGGAGAGATGGGAGTTGGGGCGGTAGGGATAAAATGTTTGATGATTCGATCATCAGCACCGCTAGTGATGAAGAACTTACGATCCGCGCTCGGATCGAGAGAGAGGGAGAGAATGGGTTGGAGGTGGGATTTGGATTGGTATGTGGTGTTCCATTGCGAAGGTGGGGATGAAGATGTAGCCGAAGGAGGAGGGAAAGGAGAAGAGGATGGGGAGACGGGAGAAGTCAGGGAGAAGACGGATACTGATCCATTTTCATACCCGGATATAACAGTTAGGCATCTAGTGGCTGGATGGAAGAAAATTGAAAGACACATTACCATGCCCGGTTTATTTGGCCCTGGTGAGGGAATGTTGTGAAGTCGGCGGAGGGTAGGGATATGGAAGATGTCGATCTGATAGTATTAATATATTGTTTATATCGTGGAGGAGAAAAAATACATACAGATTCGGAAGTCAACGTATTCGGCACAGCGATTAATGCTTGATCTTCCAGCTCTGTCTCTTGCTCTCCTCCCTTTTCTCCCTTCTCCCCCAACTCCTTTGATTTAAATTGCGTATCTATAGAACACATAGCGAATCCACAGAAATTCATCGTGTTGACATCTAATATATGTAAAATCCATGGTTTTCTCCTCTCTTCCGAGACAGTATCGACAGGAAGAACTTTACTCATCGAGTGCTCATCTGAGGGAGGGAGTTTCCATATTATCAATTTGTTGTCTTTTCCATGTCTATGAAACGTCAGTTAGATTTCTTCCTGTTTTCCTCATCCCTCGCTTCATAGATTTATAACCATCCTCTCCATTCTCTTCCCCATGCCCCTCCACCTCCCCATCCATCCTCCATCCTCCATCCTCTCCTCCCCCTTCCCCCAAACCATAACAAAAAAAAAAAAATCACTCACGTAACAACCCCTTCCCCTCCCCTTCCCATCTCCCCCACCCCCAACAAAACCCCCCCATGCGCCCTCCAAACACAAACCGCCCTCCTGCTCTCCAAATCCCACATCACCACCCAACCCTCCGCATCCCCCGTAATTAACCTCGTATTCCCACGTATGAATTTCGCCACGTGAATCGGAGACGCGTGACCGCGAAGGATATAGGATGGTTGGGGTGCGCCGGGGGGGATGGACATTGTTTTCTCTGTTGATGGTTTCTTTCGATGGTAGTGGAGAAAAGAGTTTTCGCGGTATCAGCAGATTTTTATCGTAACAAAAATCTCATTACATGTCGTCGTCGTCGTCGTTATCGAGGATATTATAGATTATATATTCATTACGTAAGCACTAAAGCCTGCCGGTATCACGATCGTCGATCCGATCACAGATTCTACTTTCTTCCCAAAATCCCAAGAGAAGTAACTATTTAATTTCATAGTAATTACTGTAGGTTAATATAATATATATTTAAACTTTAGACAACCACTCCTAAACTAATTTCATTACAACTCACGAAAATAATGTTATACGCTCTTCTCTAGATGACTACAAGATGACTAAGGTTACAAGATGACTAATAAGAATGGTTTATTGAAAAAAAGCAGTTTGCAATTTACCGTCCATCTAATATCCATCAGAGTTCTTCTTCATAGTAAACTGACTGTAAATTGTTTGTATATATACTCGGACTAGTATGCTCCTGCATAACCCTAACCCTTTTCATCACTCAAACACGAATTTCCAAAAAATCAAATCAGAAGGAATATTGGTATACAAGATCAAAGATATCCCTACCCCTCCCTTAATACTGAGGAATACAATAAAATTCATACAAATCATACATAAAGTATCTACATCATCATCTAATCAATACATTCCCACGTTATAAACTTACTAATACTAATACTATACAAGAGCAGCAATAAATAAGCCGTCCTTTTCCCTCCCTAACTCCAAGATTTTTACATTCATAGAACAAGATTTTAAAAGAGCCGCCCACCCAATATGTGTTATTCATAGTCTGCCCTGCCTGAGCGCCCTTTTGACCCTGCATGTCCCAATGCATAACGCCAAATTGACAAATATCTTGGTGTCGTTAGTTCCATATGCGAATGTATTTTCCGCTGGCCCTTATTTCACGGTGCATCTGTAGCGATAGCGACAAATCCCATCGATGTCCCCCCCTAAGTAAGTAATAGTTCAGCACGCTTTTGCCTCCCAAAAAGAATTCTAATAAGTAATGAACAATAGAGATACCATTGTCGTTTGAAATAGAAGGTGTATTAATCAAAGATATGTATGAGTAAATTGATTGGTCGTGTTTGGTGGCTGATAATATTGCTTGTATGGATGATTCGGTAGAGAGAAATCCGCAGTTTTCAGAAGAGGATTTAAAATGCCACTGGAGATGGACGGCCTTGGTAATGGTGGTGCAGGTGGTGCAGGTGGTAGACTTGAAGTTGGCGCTTGTGGATTAAGAGGGAAGAATTGTGGTAAAGTGTTCGAATGCGACATCATTTGTTGTTGTTGTGCCGCTTCATCTGGCCAACCCCACTTCGACTTGAGTTCTTTATACAGAAACCCCACTCGCCAACCAGTCTCTTTCCTGATTTTTTCGAATATATCGAGTACTTCTTCTTGCTCACGACGAATAACTAAACATTCCGCAGCAATAGCTAAAGAACGAAGTGCCACACTAGCCACCCCCCTATCTTTGACGTGTGCCACAATGCCACATATATTATGAGAATGACTTTGCTGCATCTCGTGCATCTCTTCATTTTCCGGGCCCAATAACGGATTTATTTGAGGGAGAAGACACATTGCTGTGTGGTAGAACAATCTTCCAACGATTGTGGCACGTTTGATAAGCCTGCAATTATCTGATTAGTATGTTACTTTGTACACCCAAACTAAAAAAAAATAGATACTCACCAGACTTCCGGAAAGGCGGATTTCGAAGCGGTTTGTGACGGATACAAGTAAGCCATCGGGTGCATAGTCCGAGGTATACTATGATTCCAGCTATCACAAAGATCCTTTAACCTTTGCCACTCCGCGTACCTAGATTGCATTCGAATATGTTCGTCGTGCGGTGAAGCCTCTTGAAATCGCGGCATCGATGCCCTGAAGTTTGCGATCTTGCCGATAATATATAACATTCGATGAACCCAAATTTCCTCTCTTCCAACTTCCGATTCCCTCGAAAAGTCCATATCGACTCCCCATTGATCCGGTTCCCAAGCTACTTGCCAATTGAAGTGAAGACAGCTGAGCAATTCCATCCCAACGTTAAGCCAAAAGCATGCAGCCCCTACTCCAGTACTTCGTGCATTCCATCCACATTCCTTTATCAATGCTCGTGCTCCAGCAATATGGTTCATACGTTGCATCGCTCTCTCGGACATGATCTCGTAAACGTTAAGAATGACAGCTGTAGTTGCACAGATGACGGTATCTCGATCGGGATTTTGTAACGATCGTAATAATTGAGTAGTGGCTGTATCGTAATAGTATAATGCTTTGTCCTCGTGGTAAATAGGATTGACAAGGGTTAGATGTCGAGCTCCACATGCTAGGAAAGCATTGAGAAGCATAGGTTCTCCTAGGGAGTGAAACGGTAATATCCTGGAAAAGTGCTTCATTGGATCCATACTATCCATCCATATTCCAACTTCTTCGACGAAAACTTGCATAAATAGAACTTCTTCGGGTGCAGTGAGATAATCTCGAGTTTCGTTGGGTGGTGTGATAATTTGATCGGAATTACTATATGTAGTCGGCGCGGTCAAATAACTAGAACCCTCACTACCGGCGTGAGACAAATGTCGACTTGTATGCCTAGAATGTGCCGAATGTACCATCTCATGTTTAACCCCAAGATTATTTTCCATATAAGTACCGGTAGTTTGAATTGGCGGAAGGGCATTCTCTTGCATCATAGGATCGATGACCACAGGTCGCATAGGATATTCGGCCGTTGGTTCTCGAGGAGGGGTCATCGTTCGATCGATGTGAGCATATCGGCTCAAGCCGCCTTTGTATTCGGATGCGATTTCGCGGGATTCATCTTGAAATTGGACTAACAAGGGATGAGTAAATGTATAGTGGAAAGAAACCTTTAATTGACTAACCTGCCCAATCTGCTGTAGGAGGAATTATTGGTGGTGATTTAACCTGAGTATCGATGAAATTTAAGCGTACCCCTCTCTTACATTCCCTACTAGATTTCCGACAATTTTGACAATTTGGCAACCCTTCATCACATTTTAAATGTCTTTCTCTGCATGTCAAGCATCCCGTTCGTACTCGTTTTGGTTTATTTGCAGCGGTCGTGGTAGCCTCCGCAGCAGTTGCGGAAGATGCATCATTTCCTGGCATCTGATTATTTATATTTGCTCGAACTTTGATCTGCCTAGGCTTTCCATCAATTTTCTGCCGTTTCGTAGGTTTAGAACTCTGGCCGGAAATAGGATAATTCGGTGACGCGTATTGTTGATCTCCGATGATGGTCAAATCCGATATGGTACTGGCAGATCCCGAATATAACGGCGAGGGGTTTGATTGAAGATATTGATGTTCCAATTCCAGATCAAATCCTGGCGCAAGATAAGGCTGATTGTATGCCGCCACGATTGGGGAATCTGCGACTCTTCGCAGAAAGTTCTCTTGTAATCTTTCCGTATTCCCAATAACATTGGCCAATGATGAGTGAGGTACTTGACGTTGGCGGTAATAATGATAATTCACAAGTAAAAATTCAATGTGATGTTACGGTAGGAAGCAACGATAATGTTGAATTTTTTGGTTAATAATATTGTAATGAGGTATGAATTGAAAGAATTAAAAGTAGAAGTTGGAATAGAGTGAAGTTGAAGGAAGGTTTGGATAGCAAGCGGAAAGCTGTAGATCCGATGTCAAAAAAGGTGGTCTTGAAACTATCTAACTACCTAGTCGGGTATCCTTGTGGTCGAGAAGAAAGATGATGTAGATTATGATAGAGAGGAGATAAAATTGGTTCAACCATTCATTTCATAAATAATTTCAAAGATTGAGGCTATTTTGTTAAAGTCATTGTTGTACTGTATGTACCTATGTATCTTACCATGTACTCTCTTTCTCTTAATGGGTGGCGGCCGAATTGGAAGTGGGTGAGTGAGTAAAATGACATCTCATAATCGGCTTGAGATGCCCCTTGTTCTTCTACTCAATGTTAGGATGAATTACCAGATTTAATTTGCAGATTTACAGATCAATCAGATGAAAGTACCTAGATGGAATAGATGAAGCCAAACCCACATATACTCAATCGTTCATTCAGATCCACCAATTAACTTTTGGAGCCGATCTCGAGAAGTTTGTTTGGGTGAAAGGAAGAGTTCTTGTTATGAATACTAAGGTACTGTACTTGTACTTGTACTCTGAGGACGAAGCGAGCAGCAGTGTAAGAACTATGAGTACGAGTAGCAAAGAAGTGAAGTATGGTATGAATTGCAGAGTTTGATTGATGCTGTGTAATAAATTAATACATGCTCTCCACGAAGTCCTAGAATAAATACATCACACCTACCTACCTACCTAGTAATTGGGAGATCAATGTTCATTCTATGGAAGGGCGATTTCGAGATCTACCTATTCACAGCATAATTATACTTTTATCAATATCTTGGTACTGATGACGAAGGATGTCTCTCAAATTGAAAAAAAATCACCTCTTTTACGATATCAGCCTGCACAATGACCACGGGCATCTATCGATGGTATTTTAATCCAAACGGTATTTTCTTTTCCAACCGACGAACCAGCTGGTAATTGTTCGTGAATGCGTTCAAAGGCGTTTTCATATATGGTTAGTAAGATATTCTGCCATCAAGCCGACCTTCTTCATCTAGTAAGGTGAAGATAAGGTACAATATCTTTCTTAATTTGTGTATTCGTAGAACCAACACTATGAATGAGTACAATCTGAATAGCTAGCTCACTTCGAACTCAAAAAGCATCCAGCATGTACTTACTTACTTACTTTACTTACTTACTTACTTGTAGGTATGACCATCCCATATGTGTACTAGATCAATAACCACACACACACACACAAATATTTTACAACGGCGAATCGAAATCCATGTTCACGATTACAAACAACCTCGGGATGCACATTTGTTCGAGCTTCCCTTTTCTCGGGATGGACCTGCAGAACGAACTTTTTGTTTTCCTTGGCAGATCGGCCCGGGAATAGATGGGGGAAGAAGCCGTTTCTTCTTTGAGATCTTCTTGCATTAAGGTGTAAGGTTATGAGTACAGAGTACACGTGATGAACTTAATTAAAATATATCCACTTTCTATCATTAAGAACAGATGTTAAATCATCAAATGAATGTTGAAGGTTTTCTGTACGTACTAGGTATATATAGATTTTAGGCACTACTGTACTTATTTTGATCGCTAAGTTTATCCTATTCTATTTCCACCACTCTGTTTGCTTCAATACATCCATCCATCCATCCATCCATCATCCATCCATTCATCCATCCCTATGGTTCGCAAGTAGATGGGTAAACGGGTATAATGCGTCTCTAATTCTAATTCAGCATCTTCCATATATAGATGAGTGTGAAGCATGAAGGTGTACGTTTAGGTTATGGACTACTGCACTCATCAACACCCAAATCGACAATATCCACAAGCAAGTTGAGTACCAGGACCTACATGCCAGATTACCCCGCAATTTCCAAGTCTAAAAAGGGGGGAAGATTCTAGGATTGTAGAGTAGAAGTCCACCTTTTTAGTTATATCCTTACCGCTGGTCTTTTATCTGTTCGCTTCTTATTCCGTTCATTTCTCATCCCGTTTATTTCTTACCCCCATTCATTCGCTTCTTACCCCGCCGACCCCCCATAATCTATATATAGAACCCAACTTTCCCGGTAGTATAGTATCTGCGGGATGGTACCTACTATTCATCTCTTCTTCTATTTCTGCATTCCACTGAATTTTGCGAATGATCCCCACAAAATTCATATCCATCTGTTCCCATACTATTCTTAGCTCACATCCCCGCATCACCCGGCGGTCAAGCTATTCATAGATGATGAAGTATCATCAAAATAGCCACAATTCCAGGTTCAATCTGCACTCAACTTTCGGACCGCTTCCTACTGCTGCATCGATCTAGATGCAGACACCTCATTACTATGTAATTCTAAATTCATACAACTCCCATCACTAAAATTATACTGTGGGGTAAGGTTGATGGTGCAATACTTGTTTGTAATATCAAATCTACGCCTTTTATATGCCAATGGTTTATCAGTTCGGGCCACATAGGAATGGTTAGGTGAAGTCGTTCTATGATACGAAGTTGATTGGGACTGCGTGGAAGCTAAATAGTACTATTTTGGATTCTTGGAGGATCGAGATAAGAGGAAGTTGTGTTCATTGAAATGATTTTTTTTGGGGTGAGAATGGCGAATCGGAGGCGAGTGTGGAGGTAAGATGAGATGCGATGAGAGCGCGAGAACCCATTGAGTGTCGTGGTATTTCTATAAACTGCGTTCGTCAAGTGACGAGAGCAATCAAATCCACACCTCCGGACATCATTGGCATAAATGGCTGACTGAAACTATGGAATCTTAAACCATGCGAAAGTTTCTATCTTGGTAGATAGTTGGAACTCCACACTTATTTTTTTTTTCTTTTCCTTACGCTTCGCTTTGCATCTACAGAATGTTCCTCTCGGCAAGTAGGCGATGATATCTAGCTGCTCAATATCACATCATTGATCATTCCACTGTATCCTGTTATCTCAAGCTCATACGTAGTTCTACAGAGTTCTCCTATATATACCCTTGGACTTCCTCTTCCTCTTGTGCCTGTGCTTCACGTAACGAGATAGATAGTCCGTTCAAGTTTGTGCTGAGTATATATATATATATCGTGTTGTGGGTTTTAAAAGATTCATGTCATCATGTAATGCTACACATACCTTCCCAAACTCAGCAGCTCTGCAACTCGCTTAGCATAAATACATACCGTACCTATATATTCCCCAAAATCATCATCTCCCCCATCAAGCATCCCATCGATCGCCTTGTCGCAGTGATAAACCAACCCACAGCGCTGTAACCGCCTTCGACGTGTGGAGTGTTTGATGCGATAGTCGTGACCCCATCCATCTCGAAGGAAGGATTCAGTTAACAATAAATAAAAGCCCATTGCAGAGGGAGGATTTTCCCAGCGCGTAGACACGCTCTGACTTGATTTTTGCCTTTTTTGAATCTCGTTCGTTCGTTCGTTTGGTTGGTTGCTTGTGATTTTTTCACCGTCGCTTGCTTAGCTGGTTTTATGCGATAAATTACTAAGTAGGTATGACGATCACTGCATGTATATAAACAATATTCTCTCGTCCAAATTTCAGATACCTAGATACTTTGCAATTGGATCGATCTCCAAAATTGTTTAACTTCAACGTAAATTCCTGTTTTGTACGTGTATATATATTGCTCGGTTGATCAGCGATCTCGATATGGGCTTACTTCGACTTTATTCATATACTCGAGATATGGTATGTATTGTTGTTCAAATTTCCAACTCCAACTCCCCATGTTCGCGTATTATTGAAGAGTGTATCCATAGGGATGTTGGACTTGAGAACGCATGCATGCATACCGCATGTCTTCCAGGAAAAATAGATGTAATGAAAAGAATCTCTGTGCGCGTGTAACTTCGATCGAATCAGCCTCCAATATAAGCAAGACTCCTTCCTCTCTTGTTTCTTATTGTATGAATTCGACTGGGATTGATAGTAAGGAAGTATTAATCTGGTTGGCACAGTCAGTCAGTTTAGATTCGAGATTTGGGATTCAACTTAGCTCTTAGGTAGTCGATATAGAAATATCAATGCACATACCATAACATCAATATGTGTCTTTGAGCCCGTAAGTCTGATTATCGTAGAGTAATAGCCGATCGCGAGGTACTCTGTGAGTTGAATGAGATTGAGAGAAGTACCTATACATTTACCGGGGAATGAAAATTGGGGACCCGTAAACCTGTAGAACCGTAGTGGCGAGTCGATCAGCAATCTGCGCTTAAAATTCAATTCATAGTCGCATTCGAGTATGTCTAAGAAGTTGGTGAGATGCTGATGGTTCTCTCATCGGCCCTTTCACCCTCTTTAATTATGACACATACCGGTAATTCGGATTCATCATCAAATCAAAAGTATAGGAACGAATCCAAACAATCGAAAAGATGTCGTCTGTATGCATGCTCCTCCAGCGCGGCACAATCTTGTAAAACGCAGAGGGTCATGATGTTTTCGAAGCATGAAATGTGAAAGCTCTTAAAAATTATTGAATGATTCTATCCAAAGTAAAGTGGTGTTGTAAAGATGCGCGTTCGTTGTCTTATTGGTATATTCGCCTCCTATTTTCGTACAGTTTTATTAAATTGAGAAAAGTATTTGGCTTGTTAAAGTTGTGGCGAAGGAAAGTGCGCTGTAATTGTATGAAGAAGTGTTAGTCAATAATGTACATAAAAAAGGGGGTTTGAAACTTAAACTTTGAGTTTCGATAGGAAATTCCTATGTTTGGGATCTGAGATTTGGATTTGTGGGGATTGGGAAGTTTGTGGATAGGTACCTAGTAGATAGATAGGTGCGTGGGTGAAGCATGCTGAGACCCGATTATCGTGTGATGTTGTTG